TGTGTATAAGGTATGTGATGGAAAGTACGGGTAGGCCTCAAAACCCAAAATTTCCATTGTTAGTGAGATAGTTCTTCAGTGAGTTTGGCCTCTTTTTGTGACCTTTCTTGGCACCGTTGTTAAGTGCATCACTGCAGTTGTTAAATCAGTGACACAGTTGTTAAGTGAATCTGGCTTCCTCATTGACTTTACTTGTCACAAGGTCGCAAAAGGTGATCACGTGACCAGTGGCGGGTTGCCCCTGGTTCGGACCGGTTCGCAAGAACTGGTAGTAAAATCAGCGGGAGGCTCCGCCCACTGACCCGGACATCATCAGAAGTGATCTGCGCATGCGCAGAAGAGCGTGCGTGCTTACGTGCAAGCAAAGCAAGCACAATGCAAACTGGTAGTAAAGGTAAGTAGAACCCATCCCTGCACATCACCTCAAGATACTGCAACCATCATAAATACATGTCAGTTGCCACGCGGCTGAATTTTCATCACATGACCGTGGGCTTGCTGCAATACTATAGTGTATTGCAGCAAGCTCTCTACATGGGGCTCCCCTTGAGGAGCACCCGGAGGCTCCAACTGGTCCAGAATGCAGCCGCGTGGGTGATTGTGGGGGCAACATGGCGCTCCCATGTAACACCTCTCCTGTGTGAGCTGCACTGGCTTCCAGTGGTCTTCCGGGTACGCTTCAAGGTTTTGGTTCTCATCTTTAAAGCGCTTCATGGCTTAGGGCCTGGGTATCTACAAGACCACCTTCTGCCACCAATAACCTCCCACCGGCCAATACACTCCCACAGAGAGGGTCTCCTCAGGGTGCCGTCGGTCAAACCATGTCAAGTGGCGACCCCCAGGGGGAGAGCCTTCTCTGTGAGGGCACCCGCCCTCTGGAACGAGCTACCCCCAGCGATACGACTGATCCCGGACCTCCATACTTTCCGCCGGGTCCTGAAGACTTTTCTATTTGAGCAAGCCGGGCTGGCTTAACATTTTTAACTGGTTAATTTTATGGGTAAGGGGTTTTAAATTGGGAAAGCCAAATTGATTTAATTATGTTTTAAATTATTTTAATTTTCATATTATATGTATTTTAACCTTGGCTGTTCACCGCCCTGAGTCCTTCGGGAGAAGGGCGGTATAAAATTTTTAATAATAATAATAATAATAATAATAATAATAATAATAATAATAATAATAATAGTTGTAAGTGTGAAAAATAGCCATACGTCGCTTTTTTCAGACTTTGAATAGTCTTGTAATTTTGGTGACCTTGTAAATCAAGGATTACCTGCAGGCATATAAATCTACATACTAAATGTGTATGAATAATTTACACTTCCCTCAAATGTGCTTAGGAAGGATAATTTATAATTTCATGTGTAATTTAATTTTATGACATGTAATTTCATAATTACATTTCTAAAATAAAACCACCTTGTCAGAGTACAAATATCTTAACCTTACTTTGAAGGATCGGTCGTTACAATTCTAACATTAGCCTGTTTATATGGCTAAAATATTTTTTTTAAACCCTCCCCTCCCCATGTACCAGTGTATTTATTTCAATTTATTTTTATATATAATTTTAATTTTTACTAAATAAAAGCGACAGGAAAAGTAAGAAAAAAGGCAAAGGAATAGAATACATACATGTAATTATATATATATATATAGCAGTATAATCTGTAACTCATCTGTGTAATTAATTACATTTCTTTACTATTACTATTACGATTTATTAACTATTACTTATTATTACTATTGTAGTTGCATAACTACATAAGGAATGATGTGAAAATTCAAAAATGAGATTTAATACAATACAGTAATTTTATTTTATTTTTTAAAAAACTAGAACAAATATTTCAATAACTAAAAACGTTCCAGCAGGTTCTCCCTTTTTTCTTATTTCAAACATTGGAGTTGAAAGACCTTTTTGATAAAAGTTTATTCGTAGACATACCAAAAGGAGAGTTCACCAATTGATATTACAAATCATTTTTCATTTGTTTAGATACTGTCGGCAATAAGGAGAGAGAGAAAGAGGGAGGGAGGGAGGGAGAGGGAGAGGGAGAGGGAGAGGGAGGGAGGGAGGGAGAGAGAGAGAGAGAGAGAGGGAGAGAGAGAGAGAGAGATTTAGTCTAAAAGTTAAGACCTGGCTAAAAACCAGGAAACCATGAGTTCTAGTCTCGCCTTAGGCATGAAGACCAGTCCCCAGTTGGGCTGGTCACTCTCTCTCTCTCCGTCTACCCCACCTCACAAGGTTGTTGTTCTTGAAAATTAGGACGAGGAAGGCATAGTATTATGAATGTTTACCACATTGAGTTATATATAAAAATAATAAAGCAGGGATATAAACAAACAAATAAATAAGAGAGACAAATAGGCAAACAAGAAACTGCTCTCACTTTTTTTTAAAAAAAAAACTCCTAACCAAATTGGCTTCTCTCTATAAGGTTAGCAAATTCTTTGCCAGTATGAAGAATTTGCTAACCTCTTGAAAACCCGTATAGTAGTTTAGTCCGATACAGTGGTGGATTGCTCCCAGTTCTGTCCGGTTCTTGCGAACTGGTAGTAAAAGCAGTGGGAGCAGTGGTGAAATGTAAAATTTGTTACTACCGGTTCTGTGGGTGTGGCTTAGTGGGGGGGGGTGTAATGTGACTGGGTGGACATGGCCAACTTTTTTTTTTTTTTTTTTTATTTTTAAAACCATGTTTTTTAAAACCTTTTTGGACGAAGAGGTTGTTGAAAAAAAATTCTTTTAAAAGCCAGCTGAGTTGCCTGATCGACAGAGGGTTTTTTTTTTACTTTTAAAAGCATTTTTTCGGTGGAAGAGTTGTAGAAAAAATGCTTTTAAAAATTTCTAAAAAAGCCTCTGATGATTGCGCGGCTGAGCTGGGCATGGAGGCGGGGGGGGGGGCAGGGATGTTTGCTACTGGTTTTCTGAACCACCCGCCACCATCGCTACCGGATCAGGCAATCCGATCTGAACCAGGAGCATTTCACCCCTAGGCGGGAGGCTCCGCCCACCTGCCCGGATGTCATAATGGACGACCTGTGCATGCTCCCGTTGTAAACCAGTAGTAAAGGTAAATAGCACCCACTCCTGGTCCGATACCATGTCAATGCACACTATTGTATATCCTAATTTCTTTAACGTTGTATTCAGAGGCTGTGGGGACACAAACATTAATATTGTCTTTAATATTTGCTTTTCTCTCCCATGACAAACCACAAACATATATAGAATTCAAGCTGAGATTCTGATTCCCAGGGACTAGGGGCATAAGCAGCCCATAAGCAGCAAGAATGGAACATGGAAAAAGAAGAAGCTCTCTGGAGTCTCTGAAATTTTTCACTGAATGTTGGTGGGAAATGCATGATGGTTGCAAAAGAGAAGGTGGCAATATATTGTCTCTGCGTAGGAAGACTGAGAAGTAGGGTGGGGTTTCCCCGCCGTAATTCATTAAGTGCTCATAAACATTTCAGTTTCAGTTGATTGCAATAAAACAATGCCTCCACAAAGCTAAAAAGCCCAAGTATTGTTTGTATATTTTTTTTTCTTTCAGCAAAACAAAACTTGTTGCCTCCAATTAAGCCATCAAGAAGGAAAGGACGCCACTGGGGCCTACTTGCATCAAAGAATTTAATTGGTGATTGGCTGTATTTTCATATGAATGAGTACATGAAGTCCTTGAGTTACAACCGTTCATTAGAGTGACCTTTCGAAGTTACAACAGCAATGAAAAAAGCGATTTATGACCAGTTTTCACACTTACGACCATTGTAGCACCACCATGGTCACATTTATGACGGTTGCAGTGTGCCGGGATCATGTGATCCCCTTTTGGGATCTTCTGACAAGCAAAGTCAATGGGGAAGCCAGAGTCACTTTACAACCATGTTACTAACTGAACTACTGCAGTGATTCGCTTAGCAACTGTAGAAAGTCAGTACCCAACCGCCTACCTAAAGAATTAAATATTCTGGGGAATATTAAAAAGGCAGGAGAGAATATTTCCCCTAAAGGAGAAATGGAGAAAAATTTTAAGGGAGGCAGAAACCAGCCCCAGTCTCCCTGCCCCAAGCAGAAACTGAGGAGGCCAGCTTTTAAAAATGCAGATTTGGTAATCCACTCAGAAAGACTGGGTCAGATGGAGACTCCAGATAAGCCACACAATTAGGCAAGCCAAAGGTTGACAAGATTAGCTCAGACAAACACTTAGGATTTGCATTTCCCCTTTTGCTTATAGAGCCAGCCATGACCCCTACATGACCCCCTAGGAATCAAGACGGTATAAAAAACCCACCCACTCTCAACTCCATTTCGTCAGCTGCCCCAGAACCACCAGCTGTTGGCAGTTCTGTTCATCAATAAATCTTTCTTTCCTATCAGATTCCATTTCATTCTTGGCTTGGAACTGGATCTGGGTTTTTCTTCCAACACAACTGTGCGTAAAATAGGGCCAAACTCACTTAACAACTGCCTTGCTTAGCAATGTAAGTTTGGGGTTCCATTGCAGATGTAAGTCAAGGACTACTTTTATTTTGCTTTTCTGTGAAGGAGCACGTATATATGTGAATTCTTATTAAGGGTCCTTGGGGCTTTCTGGATTTTATTCTTATGCAACATTTTTAATCCAAGTGCTTGGTGGGATATGACTGCTGCTATTTTCTTCAACTGGAGCCACCTCTGAGCCCATCAAATAAATAAAGCATCCATGCTTGCAAAGGATTGAAGTGGGGAGGCCTTGGCTTTGACCGCCAGGTGGCCTCATAACCTTTGGAAGGATCAGGAACTACATATCCCAGAATTCCCACTCGGCACAGTAGCCAAGTTGGATTTGTTCAAGAAACATTTCTTCCAGCACATCTAGGAAACATCAGTGTTGAGAAGGCTTCTCTAGCAAAAGCAAGTAGGCCCAAGCCAGTGTGGCAGTTGCTCATCTCTATGGTTGCCATGGCTTTGCTGTTGTCTCCTAGCAACGGGAACAAATGGTTGACTCAAGCATCTTGTTGCTGGGAGACAAGCATCCTTAGCTCTATCCTGTCCCTTTTAACAGAGGAAGCTGGTTCCTTTGGTCAGCTGTTGCAAAAGCTTGCCCTAATGCCAGTCAACATGTATCCTGCCCCTTGGTGAGCAAATAAGAGTAAGCCGATTAAGTGTGTGGGTGAGAAGGAACGGACGGCCATTTGCGGCAAGCATTGCGGGTGCACAGCCAGTCTAGGACTTATTTTAGGAACTGTAGAACCTTGAAAGCTGACTCAATCCCTGTTAAAGCCGTCTTCAAAACAATGACCTAAATTAAAGGGCTTAAACATGGTTTATTTGAATAAACCACCATTGGCTGGTACTAAAGCCTCTGCTGTAACCAAACAAACCTATTTTGACATCTGGACATAAGGCAAGATCAGAAATTGGGCTTGGTCTAGAAAGCTCACAGTTTCCCGGTTGAAGCTACGGTTAAGTCTGTCCACGTGCTGTGAAATTAAGGAATTTTCATGACGTCTTCGGACTGCTAGTTGCTGTTCATAGGTGCGATTATTAGACTTCTGCCTCTTTGTCCTACACAGTGTCTTGCTTGTGTTTTAGTGGAGAGTGGAGGACAAACCAGTGGTGGGATTCAGCCAGTTTGGATCGGTTCAGGAGAACCAATGCTAATTTTATATCTGGTTCACTGAACCAGTAGTTGCAAGGATTGGCTGGCCATGCCCACCTACCCTGCCCCTCCCAGGAGTCTCCACGTGGCCTGTTTTGGATGCCAGGTAAGTGCAGGGCCCACGCGGAGGCTCTGGGAGGGCGAAAAACGGGCCTCCCGGAAGTTCCGGAAGTCCTGAAACAGGCCCATTTCCGGCCTCCAGAGGGCCTCTGGAGCCCAGGGGAGGCTGTTTTCGCCTCCCGGAGGCTCAAAAAAACCCTCTGGAGCCTGGGGAGGGTGAAAATGGCCTCCCACCATGGTGCAGGAGGCTGAGTAGGCTACGCCCACCATGTCCACGCTGTCCTGTCCCCAACCCCAACCCCATGCACACACACCAACAGACGTTCAGGAGTTAAAGATCAAACCAGCCAGCAAAATCCTTTTCTTTATGATAACGGAACTTGGCAACAACCTAGTGGCTGCCTGCCAAAAGTTTATTATTTACAAAGAGGAGAGATAACTTCTCCCCACTTCTAATACATCAAAGGAAAGCAGTTCAATAATTACGGAATTAAATCAAGTCCAGAGATACTTCTAGCAAAGTCTTAAAGCAAAAGTCCGGCAATGCAGAATGGCGTGGAAGCTTTCGGCTTTGTTCATCATAAGGTTTAACTGGCCACCTTTTATATCCTGTGGGGTGTGGTCCAGTGACTCAGCCTAATGTTGGGCACGCCCTTTCTTCTGTTGCATGCACATATCTCTGCGGTGCTGGCGTGGGTCCAGCCAAGACTTATTACCCTCATCACTGTCCATCTGTGGCTGCGTGGACGTGCTTGGCCCCGGGCCTATCTCTTGCTTTTCGGCGGACACCGAAGGCATTGCCAGAGAGGAGGGTCCTGGAGAGGGAGGCCTTGCCAACTCCTCTCCTTCACTCTCGGAGTCCTCTCCTGCCGATGACACAGGCTCAGGTAACGGAGCCACAACACACGCCCACCCAGCAACCGGGCAGAGAACCAGTTGCTAAATTTTTTCAATCCCACCCCTGGAGCAAATCCACTCCTTTCTAGCACTGATGATGTTACCTAGTTGGGTAATGAAATGTCTGCAAGAAAATAACCAAACTCAGAGACCACCAAGGACCCCACAAGGTCAGAACAAATTCAGTCAAGGACGCTCCACTAGGTTATTGAAAAGCCTAAAGGAGCTTGTCATGGTTCAAGAAAGACTTATTTCAAGAAGTCTTTGCTGACACCTAGAGGTTGTGTAGTTTTTGCAATACAGAGATGGTAGCCCTGATAGAAGAGAGTATTTGAGAGTTCGACTACGGGATCCTTGGTGCTGTCTGAGCTTGCTGGTTTTCTTGCAGACATTTCATTACCAAACTAGGTAATGTCATCAGTGCCAAAAGGGAGTAAGGTTTGCTCTCATTTTTATATATTAGTGGCTTGTCTAGTCAGCATTGGTGGGAGTGTTCTTTGTGGTTTCTTGCTTAGGCTATTGTTTACAGTTAGCTGATTTGTCTGCGTTACTAGTTTCATGATTGGGGGTATCGTTTACTTGATTCTTGGCTAGTTTTAATCTTGGACTGTAGCCATACTCTGCACAATCTGGTTTGTTGAATGTAAACTCACAATCCTTTCCTTGTAAGATACCCATGCCTCAGGTGTGAAATACTCCCGGTTCGGACCGGATCGCCCGATCCGGTAGCGATGGTGGTGGGTGGTTCGGAGAACCGGTAGCAGAAATCCCTGCCCCCTATATGCCCAGCTGAGCTGCGCGATCATCAGAGGCTTTTTTTTTTTTTACTTTTAAAAGCATTTTTTCTACAAATGCTTTTAAAAGTTAAAAAAAAAAAGTTGGCCATGCCCACCCACCCAGGCCACGCCCACAGAACCGGTAGTAACAAATTTTACATTTCACCACTGCCATGCCTGCCGCAGAGGTTACATCATTTTAATTTTAAATAAGATGACTTGTAAAATTGCTGGCTTTGAAACCTAGAAGAAAGGGTATTTTTAAAAATTATTACTTGGCTTACACAACCACAACGGAGCCCAAAAATTCTGTTGCTAAGTGAGGTAGTTGTTAAATGGATTTTGCTCCATTTTATGATCTTCCTTACCACAGTTTGTATGTGCATGTATTTATGTATACACATACATGCATACATACCAGGGGTGGGTTCTACCTACCTTTACTACCAGTTCGCAACAGGGTTGTGCGCGTGCATGCGCAGAAGCGTTCTGATGACATCGGGGTCGGTGGGCGGAGCCTCCCGCCGGTTTTACTACCAGTTCTATAGAATCGATCTGAACCGGGGGCAACCCACCACTGATACATACCCTGTTTCCCCTAAAATAAGACATCCACGGATAATAAGCCCAATTAGGCTTTTGAGCATATGCGCTAAAATAAGCCCCGCCAAAAAAATAAGCCCTCGTCGAAAATATTTAAACGCATGCGCAGTCAGTCCCTGCCATTTCTTCTGGATAAGGCAGAGGTGGGTTTCAGCAGGTTCTGACCAGTTCTGGAGAACCAGTAGTGGAAATTTTGAGTAGTTTGGAGAACCAGTAAATACCACCTCTGACTGGCCCCGCCCCCATCTGCCTCCTGAGTCCCAGCTGATTGGGAGGAAATGGGGATTTTGCAGTATCCTTCCCCAGCCATACCCACCAAGCCACACTCACCAAGCCATGCCACACCCACCAAGCCACACCCACAGAACTGGTAGTAAAATTTTTTTGAAACCCACTACTGACTTAGGGTTAGGGAGACAGAGCTGGAAATCAGGTAAGACGGCAAGTGTTATGTATTGATACTTTTGAGCGGGAGTTTCAAACCTGCCTACGTTTCTGATTGGCTGACAGTCCCTCCGGGATTGTATATAAGGAGGGCTGCAGCCTCTGAGTTTTTGCTGAAGTCTCACTGTAAATTAAAGAGCTGTTGTCACTTGCTTGGTTGTGCCTCTCGTTATTCCCGAATCACTTCATTGGCGACGAAGGTGGGATAGAGGTCACAACAAAGCGAACCAGTGAGACCACGAGCTTCAGCTAGGCGACGAGGCGAACCACAGGAGGCATACCGAACATGTCTGCCTACGTTCCGCCCAAGCCTTTTGATCCGACCCGCGAAAAATGGGTCTCGTACCTGACGAGGTTCGAATGCTCGCTCGAAGCCAGCGACATGCAAGGGCTCTCCGCTAATCGGAAGAGGGCCCTCTTCCTAAGCCACTGCGGACCGGACGTGTTCGAGATGGCAGAGTCATTGTGCGAGCCAACGCCGGTCCAGACCGTTTCCTGGGACACCCTGATGGCCACACTCCGGGCTCATTATGCTCCCGTGCCCTCCAAGTTCGTGCAACGATACCAACTCAGACAGCGCGTACAACGAGAGGGAGAACCGGTCAGCGCATACATGGCCAGCCTGAGGAAAGCCGCAACCCATTGCAACTATAGAGACTTGGACGATGCGTTGCTTGAGCAACTCATCTGTGGTGTCCGGGACATTAGGCTGCAACGGCGCCTGCTCGCCAAGCCTGATTTAACGCTTGCTGGAGCCCTAGACGAGGCCAGGGCTCATGAAGCCTCCACAAAAGCCGCAGAAACGCTGCAGCGTCCGCTGACCAGCAAAGACAACCCCAAGTCTGCCCCGGTGCACAGAGAAGACGCTGGATCCAGCTCGGAGTCTGAGTCGGATGAAGACGTCTTCCGAACGGAGCACCAGAGAAAGGACACAGGCAGCCCCCGGTGAAGCTGTCCCAGCTGTGGAGGACACCATGACAGACTGTCCTGCAAATATAGGGAGGCTATTTGCAGGCGTTGCGAGGAAAAAGGGCACTTGGCGCGAGTCTGTAGAGCCATTCTGCCCAGAAAACACCAACCACGTGAGCGCCGCAGCCAACCAGAATCAACGCGCCAGAAACAACCAACGAGAGAAGGCGGCGCGGAAAAACGGCGCGAATTTGAACCTCGAGATGGCCGCAGCATTCACATAGACCAGGCCAGCGCGGAAATCGAGGACAAAGTCAGCACGGTGGTCGAAATCAACGGCAAGCCATGCTCAATGGAGATCGACACCGGATCGGCTCTCTCCATAATGTCATGGGCGACCCTAAAGACCCTCCTGCCATCGTTCCGGAAGGACCAGCTCTCCAAACAGAGACTGCGCATCCTAGACTACCAGGGGAACCGAGTCCCCCTCAAAGGCGTGGGCACATTCTGAGTCACCTACGGAGACTACGAAAGAGACCTGCCACTGACCATCATCACGAAGCAGCTTCCCAGCCTTCTCGGCATGGGGTGGTTCCGAGCCCTCAGCATGGGCTTCACCGGCGTCCACCAGATGCTCAAGTCATCGTTAAAAGACAGTCTCCTGACCGAGTTCCAGGACGTTTTCGGGGACACGTTGGGCAAGTATGTGGGGACCCCTATCTCCCTTAATTTAGACCCCAACGTAGCCCAAATAAGACTCAAGGCCAGACGGGTGCCTTTCGCATTGAAACCAAAAATCGATGCGGAACTGGACAAACTGATTAAACAAGGGGTACTGGTTCCCGTTGACCATGCAAAGTGGGAAACCCCTATAGTGACCCCAGTAAAGTCCGACGGCTCAATTAGAATCTGCGCCGACTACAAGTGCACGATCAACAAGGCTTTGCAGCCGAGCGCCTATCCGGTGCCGATCGTGCATCATCTACTACACTCCCTGGGGCCCGGAAAAATTTTTGCCAAATTAGATCTGGCTCAGGCCTATCAACAATTACCAGTTGATGATGCCACGGCAGAGGCACAAACGATTGTTACTCATAGGGGTGCATTTAAATGCACCAGGCTCCAGTTTGGGGTGAGCGTCGCACCTGGCCTATTTCAAAGCACCATGGAGCGCCTTCTGCAAGGGCTTCCCGGAGTGGTGCCCTATTTTGATGACGTTCTAGTCAGTGCTCAGGACGAACGTCAGTTAGGGGACAGAGTCAGGAACGTCCTTTCTAGATTTAGGGAAGCGGGACTGAAGTTAAAGAAAAATAAATGTATGATCACTGTCCCCTCTGTTGAATTTTTGGGGTACAGGGTGGACGGCACAGGCATCCACCCTACCGAAAGCAAGGTGAGAGCGATTAAGAGCGCACCTGCCCCCAAGACCAAAGCTGAGCTCCAAGCCTTCCTTGGACTGCTCAATTTTTACTCAATGTTCCTGAAAGACAAATCTACCGTCGCAGATCCCCTACACAAACTATTGGGGAAGAATGTACCATGGGTCTGGGGGAAACCACAAGCAGCCGCTTTTGAGGCTGTAAAGAGACTTCTATCGGAAGACAGTTTCCTAATCCAATACAATGCAGCGCTACCGCTTGTATTGGTTTGTGACGCCTCCCCCGTAGGAGTTGGTGCCGTCCTGGGCCATAGACTTCCGAACGGCCTAGAGGCGCCCATTGCGTTTTACTCTCGCACCCTGTCAAGCGCAGAGCGAAACTATAGCCAATTGGACAGAGAGGCTCTGGCTGCAATTGCGGGGGTTAAAAAGTTCCACGAATATCTCTTTGGCCGACAATTCGAACTTGTGACTGATCACCGGCCCTTGCTAGGACTTTTGGCAGGCGACAGGCCCACCCCCGCTGCTCTGTCCCCACGCTTGACTAGATGGGCTATTTTTCTTTCGGCCTATTCATATCAGCTTGTACACCGACCTGGACGGACCCTGGGTCACGCGGATGCCCTCAGCCGCTGTCCCCTACCTGACTTACTGACCAATCCAACACCTGAGGCCTCCGTCCTTCTAATGGACACATTAACTTTGGGACCTATTTCCTCTGCCGAAGTGGCTAAAGCCTCAGCCAGGGACCCGATCATTCGTACTGTGATGGGCTGGGTGCTAAAAGGGTGGCCGGTCAAGGTGGACGGGGGGGACTACCAAGGTTTTGTAAACAAACGAAACGAACTGTTTACGCAAGGTGGTTGCTTGTTGTGGGGTGACCGGGTGGTAGTGCCAACGAAACTATGAACGAGGGTCTTAGAATTGTTGCACGAAGGGCACCCGGGCATTGTCAGAATGAAAAGTTTAACCCGCAGTTACGTATGGTGGCCCAACATGGACCAAGTTATCTCTGAGTGGGTGGGGAAGTGCAGACCCTGCCAGGAGTCTCGCCCTGATCCCCCGGTAGCGCCCATCCGAGAGTGGGAGAAACCAAAAGGGCCATGGGGGAGGATCCATATTGATTTTGCTGGCCCCTTCCATGGGCAAACGTTTTTAATTGTAGTAGATGCCTTTTCAAAATGGCTTGAAATCATTCTAATGCCCTCTACCACAGCCGAGGCAGTTATTAAAGCCCTTCGCAAGCTGCTTGCCACACATGGCCTACCGGATACCCTAGTATCTGACAACGGCCCTCAATTCACAGCAACCCTGTTCGAGGGATACTTGGCCGGACTGGGCATCCGCCATGCCCTATCGGCCCCGTTCCACCCGGCTTCTAACGGATTGGCCGAACGCTTTGTTAGAACGGCCAAAGAGGCCCTATCCAGACTAGATAACGGAGACTGGCAGGCCAGGATAGATCAATTCTTAGCTGTCCAGCATGCCACACCATGCACAGCCACAGGGAGAAGCCCAGCAGAGCTCCTCATGGGCAGGAAGCTCCGGTGCGTGTTAGATAGGCTTCACCCCAATAATTCGCATGAAAATTTCAAGGGAGAGACCTCTGGACTAAGACAGTTTCAGGTTGGGTCCCCAGTGTTCGCTCGCAACTATGCCAGCGGACCTCTATGGGTTGCAGGAACCATAGTGGGCATAACGGGCCCGAAATCTTATACGGTAGACGTAGGGGTAGACAGACTCTGGAAGCACCACATAGACCAGCTGAGAAAAAGGGTAGTCGGCGAAGCAAACATAAATTTAGACATATCCAAGCCTAACTATAACAACTTTCCCAAAACAGCTAACTCAAGCCCGGGGTCGCGAGAATACTTAGCTGACAAGCCCTGGTTCCAGCGCCGCCCCAGCGAGTCGCCACTCCCAACCGGGGATAACCATGCCCCGGACAAAATCCAGGAGGTTCCATTGGCGGAGCCGGGAGAGACAGAAAGTCCCTCCGACCAGCTCGACGCCCCGCCAAACACTGAACTGCGCAGGTCAACGAGGACGAGAACTCACCCTGGGCACCTGCGAGATTTTGTGTGTACTTATGTAAATTTTTGAATGACAGTGCCTTCTGGGAAGGGAGGGGTGTTATGTATTGATACTTTTGAGCGGGAGTTTCAAACCTGCCTACGTTTCTGACTGGCTGACAGTCCCTCCGGGATTGTATATAAGGAGGGCTGCAGCCTCTGAGTTTTTGCTAAAGTCTCACTGTAAATTAAAGAGCTGTTATCACTTGCTTGGTTGTGCCTCTCGTTATTCCCGAATCACTTCAGCAAGAGGAGCCCCATCTTGCTCCATGCGCCCCAAAATAATAAGACCTCCCTGAAAATAAGGCCAAGTGCTTATTTTGGGGTTCAAAAAAATATAAGACAGGGTCTTATTTTCAGGGAAACACGGTACATACAAACTACCCTATGAAGTGAAGCAATTTGCAGATGCTTCTCTGGAACGGCAGGGAAAGTGACCTTAACACAGGGGAATCATCCAATCATAGCTTGTAGCTCAGACTGAATACCTTGCAAGTCCAGACAGGATTATCTCAAACTCTAAATACACCTAGTCCAGTGGTGGGTTGCTACCGGTTCGCCCCAGATCGGGGGAACCGTTAGCGGTGGCGGTGGGAGGCTCCGCCCACCCGCCCGGACATCTCTGCACATGAGCAAACCAGTAGCGATGGGATTTGAATCCCACTACCGACCTAGCCCCCATTTAGGGAACACAAGTCGGTTGTTAAGTGAAGCGATCTCTAAAGAAAATGGTGGCCGTGCCTATGATCCTCCTTGAGCTTCCCTTTGCTTTATAGATCTGCGAAGGTCATCAATGCGAGGATTGGTTGCAAAGTTTCTCTTCGTCACCGTTGTGACTGCGAACGGTCACTAAGTGAGGCAGTTGCCAAACCAGGACTACCTGTATGTCCTTTGGTGAAACGCAAACAAAAATGTTGATGAAGTGAATATTGTAAGAAATCTGGTAGATTCCCAGTTCATTTTTAGAAGTATCGTAGCCAAGAGATATTTGTTTTAAATGCTGGCCATACCTTCTTTCCATCCAGGTACAAGGAAAAATTACCTTCCAGATGCTTTCAAAAGCAGGCCAGTAACAAAGAGAGATTCTCGGATTCTCTCAACGGCCAGCGATGGAGATTTCTGAAAAATGGCCTGGATGATTTCAGAAGTGGCTGTCCTCCACCTTCGGACAACGTAATAATTCAAGGCAACAAAGGGCCCGATCCGATCATCCTACAGTATAAGAAACTGGATTCTTCCCAGATTGTCCCTTACAAATCCAGAGACTTGCTGAGGAAACGCTCAGCGGTTCACTCCAGACTCCCCACACCTCAGAAAACCAAGACGGACTCCGTGAGTCAGGCCAAGCTCACCCAGGAGCAGCACCCACTGGCACTTTATCCACACCTGGAAGAGAGTGTGCCTCAAGAGGTAAAATGGATTTATTCTTTTATTTATTTTGTATCCCACCTTTATTATTTTTACAAATCCGGATATCCACTGGAGGCTTTTAGGAAGAAACTGGGCAGCCATTTGTCTGGAATGGAATAGTGCCGTGATGGCGAACCTATGGCACGCATACCACAGGTGGCACGTGGAGCCATATTTGTGGGCACATAAGCGTTGCCCTAGCTGAGCTCCAGCACGCATGTGGTTGCTGGCCAGCTGATTTTCGGGCCTTCTGGGCCCACCGGAAGTCAGCAGCCTCCCAGGGGAGGCTGTTTTTGCCCTCCCCAGGCTCCTAGAAAGCCTCTGGAGCCTGGGGAGGGCGGAAAACGGGCCTACTGGGCCCACTGTGTCATCACATGCCAAAAGCGGAGGGAGCACGGGGCAGGGGGGGGTCGCACACACATGCACGGGGGGGCAGGGCTCAGAATTATGGGTGTGGGCACGCACGCGCACGACCACCCCGCACTCCCCCCCACTTTGGCACGCGATGGCAAAAAGGTTAGCCATCACCGGCATAGTGATTCTTACTTGAGCAGGGGGTTGGACTAGAAAACCTCCAAGGTCCCTTCAAACTTTACTATTCTGTTATTCTCGTAAACTCTTTATTTTCATAGGGCTTTAACAATCCAATGTCTTCCTCACAATGCAACCTGCAGCAAAAACCCCGAGCTCCTTGCAATGACCGTCTGATTTTGCTGTTTACACCCTGCTATGCTTCCCCCCCCCCCCATCTGAAATTTGAGACCTCCATGGCTTAGGACCTAGTTATTTACGGGACCGCCTGCTACCACCAATAGCCTCCAGCCGGTACACTCTCATAGAGAGGGGCTCCTCCGCATGCCGTCGGCCAAACAATGTCGACCGGCGGCCCCCAGGGGAAGAGCCTTCTCTGTGGGGGCACCTACTATCTGGAATGAGCTCCCCCCGGAGATACGGAGGATACCGGATCTGCACACCTTCCATTGTGCTCTCAAGACTTTTTTATTCCATCAAGCTGGCCTGGCCTAAATGTTTCCCGTTTAAAATGTAAATTTTAATTTGTTTTTAAAATTATTGGGTGTTTTAAATTTGTCTCAGCCAAATTGTTTAATTCAGTTTTATTCTGTTTTTAAATTTTGTATTTATGTGTTTTATTCTGTGGCTGTTCACCGCCCTGAGTCCTTCGGGAGTAGGGCGGTATATAAATCCAATAAATGAAATGAAATGAAATGAGATGATTCAGACAGGAGAAACAGTGTCCTATCTTGCTGTGCCCTGACAGCTTTTTGATGATGTGATGAAGCTCCTGGACCCTGAGATGCAGCTGACCCGAACATCGCCAGATTATAATAAAGACGATGCGACCATCCCTTCGCCTGCTCAGTATCACGTGAAATACGATGTGCCCCCAACCAGAAGCTACAGTTCCACCCTTCCGTGAGTAGTGAAACAAGTAAAAATGCAAATTTAACAAATATAAGTGAAATATTTTTTTTAAAAAAATAGGTGAGCCAATTTGTAACCAGCTGATGGGCAGCGTTTGGCCCTTGCTGTGGGCTGAGGTGAGAAGGAACATGGAGGTGAGTTCTTGTGGCACCGGATTAGACCCTTCCAAAGTGTGACTCAGATCTTCATATTTGATTACATTACTGCAGTATTTAACAAATCAAATGCAACCCAGCAAGACAGACACAGACTTCAGAGGATCATTAGAACTGCAGAAAAAACAATGGCTACCAACCTGCCTTCTATTGAGGACCTGTATACTGCACGAGTCAAAAAGAGGGCTGAGAAAATATCTACAGATCCCTCGCATCCTGGACACAAATTGTTTCAACTCCTACCCTCAAAATGACGTTATAGAGCACTGCACACCAGAACAGCTAGACACAAGAACAGTTTTTCCCCAAATGCCATCACTCTGCTAAACAAATAATTCCCTCAACACTGTCAAACTATTCACTAAGTCTGCACTACTATTAATCTTCTCATCGTTCCCACCACCCATCTCCTCCCACTTATGACTGTATGACTGTAACTTTATTGGAAGGGGTCAGGACTCTCTTGTAACTTCGAATAATCGCTAAACAAATGCCTCAAAGGTGCTTTTTGTTTCAAGAGACAACTGGACTTTCTTTTTTTTTTTCTTTGAAGACGTTTCGCTTCTCATCCAAGAAGCTTCTTCAGCTCTGACTGGATGGTGGAGAAGGGAAGGATTGCAGACAGCTGGTCATTTGCATTCTTTTTTGCAATCTGGTTTGAAAGAGGGAGGTCAAGGAGCCCACCTGTGTCAAAACTGAACAGCCCTCTCTCAACATACATCATCTATCTCCAATCTACAACACAGTCCTTTCAACAGTTGCAAGAAGGCTCCACACCAGGGGTGAAATCTAAAATATGTTACTACTGGTTCTGTGGGCGTGGCTTGGTGGTGGTGGGTAATGTGACTGGGTGGGCGTGGCCAACTTTTTTTTTTTTAACTTTTCAAAGCATTTTTTCTAATGCTTTGAAAAGCCTCTACCGATCAGGCAACTCAGCTGGGATCGTCAGAGACTTTTCAAAGCATTTTTTTTACCACATCTTCGGCCAAGAGGTTGCAGAAAAAAATGCTTTGAAAAGCCTCTGACGATCCCAGCTGAGCCGCGTGATCATCAGAGCCTTTTTTTTTTTTTACTTTTAAAAGCATTTTTTCGTCGGAAGAGGTTGTAGAAGAAAATGCATTTAAAAGTTTTTTAAAAAAGCCTCTGATGATCGTGCGGCTCAGCTGGGCATGAGGGGGTGCCGAAGGGATTTTTGCTACCGCTTCTCCGAACCACCCGCCTCCATCGCTACCGGATCGGGCGATCCGTCCGAACCAGGAGCATTTCACCCCTGCTCCACACCCATCAGGTGACCCTGAGGACACAGATAAACCTCCTTCTCTAAAAGGATGCAAATGACCAGTTGTCTGCAAGGAATATAAATCCTTCCATTCCCCACCATCCAGTCAGAGCGGAAGAAGCTTCTTGGATGAGAAGTGAAACGTCTTCAAAGAAAAATCAAGAAAAGTCCAGTTGCCTCTTGAAAAAAGCACCTTTGGGACAACCACAACCTGGATGACTGAGAATCTCCAGAGACATTCACTAAGCAAATGGTTGTTAAGTCAAAAACTACCAGTACTCTAGCATTATTTTTTGTTGTTGTTGTTTTATGTTCGTCTCGTTCATTTAATGACAAGACTCTACTTTTTGTATCCGCAGCTGGGTGCAGACAAAAAAGAACCCTTACACGTGGTTTAGTAAGAAAAAGGTGGCCGAGAGACATCAGGCAGCCAAAATAGATTACGTTCCCCCTTTGGATGAAAACGTCAAGCGGGTAACAAAGGAGTTTTGTGAATGGGTCAATGCAATGGTAAGTACAAATAACTGTAAAAGCCAGTTGAACGAGAACCACAAGCACAACTGAGCAGACAATGTAAATCCAGCAAGCCAACCCACATCCCTGGTTTGATACTTTTATACAGGTAGTCCTCGACTTAGAACCAGGGGTGAAATGCTCCCGGTTTGGACCGGATTGTCTGATCCGGTAGCGATGGTGGCGGGTGGTTCGGAGAACCGGTAGCAAAAATCCTTGGCCCACCCCATTGCCCAACTAAGCCGCGCGATCATCAGAGGCTTTTTTAAAAAAAATTTTAAAAGCATTTTTTCTACAACCTCTTCGGCCGAAAAAATGCTTTTAAAAGTAAAAAAAAAAAAGAGCCTCTGATGATCAGGCAACTCAGCTGGGATTGTCAGAGGCTTTTAAAAGAAAAATAACCTCTGCCGTCAGGCAACTCAGCTAGGATCGTCAGAGGCTTTTAAAAGCATTTTTTCTACCACCTCTTCAGCCAAAGAGGTTGTAGAAAAAATGTTCTTAACAGAAAAAAAAGCCTCTGATGATCAGGCAACTCAGCTGGGATTGTCAGAGGCTTTTAAAAGCTTTTTTTTTTACAACCTCTTCAGCCAAAGAGGTTGTAGAAAAAAATGGTTTTAAAAGTAAAAAAAAAAAAATAGTTGGCCACGCCCACCCAGTCACATTACCCCCCACCACTAATCCACGCCCACAGAACTGGTAGTAACAAATTTTACATTTCACCACTGCTTAGAACCATTCATTTAATCACATGGATTTGGGCAAACTCTGGGGGACAGTGGAGGATGGGGGAAGAGGAGCTGGTTTGCTATGGTCAGTGGTGGGATGCTGCCCGCTTAACAACCGGTTCGGTGATCGCGCGCTTCGCACTTTTTACAAATACTAACCTTCTGTGTTACCACTTGGGAGTAACACAATTGAGGCACAGCAATCCGCTCTCCCGCCCCAATCAGCTAAGAAGATAAAGGTAAGGAAAGCGCAGTGGCAGGCTGACCTGATCGTCGGAGCGAACCGGTTGGAGTTACTGCTTCACCCAAACCGGTCCGAACCGATAGAATCCCATCCCTGGCTATGGTTCATGGGGTTGTGAAAAGTTGGACCTGACTTAGCAACTGAACAGCAACAACAACAATCCAGATTGACGACAAGCAAATGTTTCTAATAGAAAAATTGAATAAATTCTTCTATTAGAAGAATATTTTATTCTATTTGATTCAATCAATCAAATAATTGAATCAAAACGCAAAATATCAGCAGCTCCCTACTAAAGGCCACCAGAAGAGGCACCTGGATAAATCTTCTGAATGATCTACCAATGCAGGTAGTCCTCGAATTATGACCACAATGGAGCCCAACATTTCTGTGCTAAGGGAGTCATTCGTTAAGGAAGTTCTGCCCCATTTTACGACTTTTCTTGTCACATTTGTTAAGTGAATCCCTGCAGTTGTCAAATTAGTAACACTGTTGTTAAGTGAATCTAGCTTCCCCATTGACATTGCTTGTGAGAAGCTTAGAAAAAGCTGATCCCATGAGCCCAGGGCACTACAACCGTCATAAATATGAATCAGTTGCCAAGCGTCTGAATTTTGTTCACGTGACCATGGGGATGCTGAAACGGTCGTAAGCAGTGGTGGGATTCAGCCGGTTCGGGAAGGTTCAGGCAAACTGGTGGTTAAATTGCTGGCTGGCCCTGCCCCTCCCTGTCCTGCCCCTTCCAGGAGTCCCTACGCACCCCATTTTGGCTCCTAGGTAAGTGCAGGGAGGCCTCCTAGGCCCAAAACGTGGTGCGGGAGGTGTGGCACCCCCCACTGTGGCCCGTTTTTACTCCCAGTGGTGTCCAGGAGGCCGAGTGCTATCTGTCACACCCCCTGGCCACGCCCACTATGGCCACGCCCACCCAGCCCATCATTAGGGCAGAGAACCGGTCGTTAAATTATTTGAATGCCATCACTGGTCGTAAGTGTGAAAACCAGTCATAAGTCACTTTTTCAGAGCCGTCGTAACTTCGAAAGGTCACCGGATGAACTCTTGTAAGTCGAGGACTACCTGTAGCTATCATTCCTATCTGACATTACTGCAGTGAAATATTAGAAAATATTTGACTTTTGAACCACTTCTCCAGGTCAGAGGGTCATGGATGTCTTCGGCACTCCTGTTGAAGGTCACGTTTTATCTTGCTTCTCTCTTTTGGTTACGCCGCATGATTAAGCAGAAGTAGTCTGGGATGTTAATTCGGAAATCAGAATGCAGAAATGTAAACCGAAGGAGAACGTTGACATTTGTTTTGAAATGTTTGCAATCGGGTAAAAAAATAATAATAATAAAAAGAGGAAATAGGAAAGGATTTTTCTAAAGAAGCTTGGTGAGTCAGCATGGACGGAACAGTCTGATTAGGGTATTCTGATCGTGAACCATGATTTACTCTTGTGAAAGTCACAGTGGTTGGAAAGGAAAAAGAAAGGTGCCCTGAGCAATTACTGACCCATATATAAAAGCTTTTTTTTTTTTTTTTAATGGGAGAGAACCCTCGGACAGAGAACGATATTGGAAATTAGATGTGAATTTTAGAATAGAAGAATGGTATTGTGAAATGTGGAAATTAGCTTTAAACGATAAAATGACATGTGATATTAAAATTAGAAATGGTGACTATAAAGAAGATATTTTCTGGAAAATTTGGAAACCATTTGTGGACTATGCGCTGGGAAAATTGGATGCTTCGGTACCTGTACCCCGAGAACGTGGATTTTGGCGATCATGAGGATATATCCGAAGAACCAAATCTTCCTTTCTTATGTATAGCACAGGGTGAAATATTGTATATGTTGTTTGTAATGTTAGTAATTTAAAAGTTTAAAAATAATAATAAAGAAAAAAAAATGGGAGAGAACCCTGTTTAAAGGCTTAAAGAAGAACCCACAACATTGCTTTAAGCTATGTCTCCACTACAGGCGTGAAAGTAATCCCACCATTATGCACTGTTAAAAGAGAAAGAAAACTGAAGTGCAGCATGTGTTAAGAACGGGACGCGGTGGCTCAGTGGCTAAGATGCTGAGTGTGTCGATCTCAAGGTTTGCAATTCAGCGGTTCGAATCCCCTAATGCCACATGACAGGGTGAGCTCCTGTTACTTGTCCCAGCTTCTGCCAACCTAGCAGTTCGAAAGCAGGTAAAAAATGCAAGTAGAAAATAGGGACCACTTTTGGTGGGAAGGGAACAGCGTTCCATGCTCCTTTGGCGTTGAGTCATGCCGGCCACATGACCACAGAGACGTCTTTGGACAGCGCTGGCTCTTCAGCTTTGAAACAGAGATGAGCACTGCCCCCTAGAGTCAGGAATAACTAGCACATATGTGCGAGGGGATCCTTTACCTTTAACTTTATGTGTTAAAAACAATAGAATTAGAATTCTTTATTGGCCAAAGTGTGAACAAGGAATTTGTCTCCGGTGCATAAGCTCTCAGTGTACATACAACAATAGTGAGAGATCAGTATCATAATCATACAGGCAGCCCTTACAACAGCTCACTTAGTGACCGTTCGAAGTTTCCACGGCACTGAAAAAAAAGTGACTTATGATTATTTCTCACACTTACAAACATTGCAGCGTCCCCGTAGCTGTGTGATCAAAATTCAGACGATTGTCGATCGGTTCGTATTTATGACGGTTGCACTGTCCCAGGCAGGGGTGGGTTCTAAATTTTTTTACTACCGGTTCTGTGGGCGTGGCTTATTTTGTGGGTGTGGCTTGGAGGTCATGTGACTAGGTGGGCGTGGCTAGCTGGTCAGAGTCATGTCTGGAAGGTCCTCGCACTTACGACCAGTCCTCGCACTTACGACCTGACTCATTTGTTTGCTTTTACCGCTGATCAGCTGTAGGACGGCCCTTTGAAGCCCCACGGCAAGAGTTAAACAGTTTTTTTCCCTCTAGTCATCAGCTGGGACTCAGGAGGCAACAATAGATTGGGGGTGGGACCAAATAAAAGGTAAGAATAACGTGGGGGCGGGGAGGGTGGGAGGGCGGGGGGGGAGAACCGGTTCGGTGACATCATATCGTCACCACTACCGGCTCGGCCGAACCGGACCGAACTGGGAGGAACCCACCACTGGTCCCAAGGTAATGTGATCATGTTTTTATGGCTATCCGAGAAGCGAAGTCAAGGGGGAAGTCAGATTCACTTAACAAACTGTTACTAGTTTAACAACTGCAGCGATTCACTTAACAGCAGTGACAAGGAAGGTCGTAAAATGGGAGCAAAATTCACTTGACAACTGTCTTGCTTAGCAACAGGAATTTTGGGCTCAATTGTGGTTGTATGTCGAGGGCTATCTGCAGTTTCAAACAGCTTTCAAATAATAGGTTAAGGTGCCATAAATGTACCTAAATAGAATAGAATAACAGATGGAAGGGACCATGGTGGGTTTCAATTTTTTTTACTACCGGTTCTGTGGGTGTGGCTTGGTGGGTGTGGCAGGGGAAGGATACTGTAAAATTCCCACCCCGCTCCAGGAAAAGGATACTGCAAAATCCCCATTTCCTTCCAATCAGCTAGGACTTGGGAGGCAGAGAATAGATGGGGGCGGGGTCAGTCAGAATTTTTACTACCGGTTCTCCGAACTACCCAAAATTTCCGCTACTAGTTCTGCAGAACTGCTCAGAACCTGCTGCAACCCACCTCTGGAAGGGACCTTGGCGGTCTTTTAGTCCAACCCACTACTTAGGCAGGAAACCCTACACCACTTCAGACAAATGGTTATCCAACATCTTCTTTAAATCTTCCAGTGTTGGAGCATTCACAACTTCTGGAGGCAAGTTGTTCTACTGATTAATTGTTCTCACTGTCAGGAAATTTCTCCTTAGTTCTAAGTTGCTTCTCTCCTTGATTAGTTTCCACCCATTGCTTCTTGTCCTGCCCTCAGGTGCTTTGGAGAATAGTTTGACTCCCTCTCCTTTATGGCAGCACCTGAGATATTGGAACACTGCGATCATGTCACCCCTAGTCCTTCTTTTCATTAAACTAGACATACCCAGTTCCTGCAACCGTTCTTCATATGTTTTAGCCTCCAGTCAACAATCATCTTTGTTGC